ATACGATTACTGAAAATTGATTAATCGACCACCATAAAATGAATTGGCAACTATAGTGATGATTAATTGTTTGAGTCCCTGTTTGAGCAAAAATGCAGACAATTTTATGAGTTTTTTTGTTTTGTTTTCATGTCTTAAACTATTATAAACTAACTATCTCTTCAGTTTTGGACAGCTGGATGAACAAAACAGCAGATCTGAAGATGGGAAACTGATTAGTGCACATAGCAGATTAGCAATTAGAAAAATAATATTTGTTTGCAGCTTGTATCCACGGCTTTACCAAACTGACTCAGGTGAGGTGGTGCCACAGTTGAGGTGGAGGCTAGATGAGGCATGAAGTCATGTCCCCTTGACTGGCAGCAGAAGATTAAGACCACTAGTGATATCATGTAAACATGCCATGAATGAATCCAGAGGTGCCAATAAGTGGGAAAATGCTAAACAATTCAGGGGCCCTGAAACATGCATGGGATTTTACATATTTATTGTGCCTGAGATGTTTTCCAGCAGAGCACCTGAATGGTTTTCACATAAAAATTAAATTAAATTAAATTAAATTAAATTTAAAAAATAAATTAATTAAAATTAAATAACTGTGTCTCATGTAAGAACTGATGAGATGTATTAGGAGATGAGATGCTGCCTAGTATGAACAGGGTTTTGTTTGGACTAAGGCTATTTGTAGTTTGACTTTCTTGTTTAAGTAATTTGCATATTTCCCTTATCTGAGTAGCCAACTTGTTGTATAACCTGCCCATTTCCTCTAGAGCGACACTAAATTAGTTTAATCACTTCAAATAAATATGAAAAATGTTCATGTTTGTGCCACTACGTATTCATTAAGCTAATTGTGCACTTGTTTGCTAATTGTTTGGACATTATTACCTTGTAAAGCTGGTGGGTCCACTGAAACTGTTACTATTTGTTGCTTTGGTCCATTGTTTGTTGTTGCTGAAAAGAAAGGGCACTAAAAATGTTACATTTAGGGAAAATATATTTGGCTAACACGGTAAAAAAAAAAAAAAAAAAGATGTAGTTTTAACGTTTTTCCTCTCGTGTCAAGTTTAAAAAAAAATACGCACTTCCGCTCTGTCCCGGAAGTCACTTCATCGCTTCACCATGGTTCCTCCAGTCGCAGTGTCGCCGCTTATCAAGGTAACAAAACACACATTATTTGCCCTTAAGATTGTCATTGCTGTTAATTTGTCAATTAAAATTAAATAAATAAATTTATTAAAAACGCCAGCTGTCCCCTTTAGACGCGCAGCTATGGCGTCAGTGTCAGTTGTTCTAGTAGCATGCTAGCTAATGTTTGCTAGCAGTGACATTGACAGACTGTACAGGTGAACATCTATCTGTAGGTTAAAATCTGGGGCGTCTTCCACATAAGTCTGATGCAAAATTCGTGGTTATCATAACTACTTGTACAGCTACACTGTGTCATATCAATGAACAGCTAATATCGTCATCCATTTTGTCAGAAAGGTCAGAGATAAAGTGGACTCTGCTCTTATCACGGCTAACAGTTAACTGTGCATGTGTTGTGTACAGTTGTGTGCCGTTATATTGTTAAACGGTGGACACACCCTGCGTATTGTTGAGACAGACCCTCCCCAAAAAAGAGAGGTTGTTATCTCTTAGCCAGTTGTGTTTAAAAGTGACAGTCATGTCAATGAGGTATTGCAGCAGAAACATATTCAGCACTGACAGGGTTGGAAATTGGCACCAGCCACCAGCCATGCTGGTAAAATACGCAAATGAATGCTAGATTTGCTTAACTCACCTGCCAAAAAAACAATAGTAATCTATTGAATGGCTGGCAGATTTTGTAATCCATCAGCCACAGTGGCAGGTGGACAGAAAAGTTAATTTCCAAGCCTGGATACAGTGACAGAAGAATATCTTCATCAAAAACTTGCCTTGCTACATGTGTCAGCTCACACAGTTTGCTAATTAGCCATAGTTGTTTCATTTGGTAACACCTGTGAATCATTTTATTTCAGACGGCCAGGTGGTCTGCCCTCCTGCTCGGCATGTTCTATGGCAAACAGAGGTTTGGTAAGTTCATGTCTGTGCATGCACCAGCAGAGGGTTTCTGCAAATGTCTAAACTTCAGTGGCTACAGTTCAACAAAAATAGGGAATAGTAGAGTTTCCTGAATTCTGTCAAAAACTTATGCTTAGATACTCAAAAGAGCTATTTTAAAAAATATATTATTTAGGGGGTGATTGAAATTAAACCCTGAGGCTACTTCATGAAGCAAGTTCACCATGAACATAAAACAAAACCAGTGCTTGAAATACAGGGGATTTTGGGGCCCTTAATTAACACCAATGACCCCCTGAAAAACTCAGAGACGGTGTATCTACAAATGAAGCCTATAACTTGGTATTTATTGATATTGTAAAGTAGATTTCATGTTGAAAGGTAAGGAAATGCACTAAATAATGGGACTCACAACAAAACGGGCAGCTGGTTTTCTTGATGGGTGTTCTTCTTGTTCAGATTACCTAAAGCCCATTGCTGAGGAGGAGAGGAGGATTGAGGAAGCAGAGAAGAAGATCAGAGAGGAGCAGGAACGCATCTACAAACAACTGTCTGAGGGTAAGACAGGACTCACTCTTTGTTCCTGTATCTTTACCTGTCTGTCACACAAACATACAGTAGTGTTTATTGTTGTTTATTCCAAAGAGGCATCACACGTTCCAACATTATGTCCACAAAATGTCTTAATGACATGTTTTCCCCTCTTGTTCTCTCCTCTCTGCAGCAAATTCTGACACCATCCTCAAATGAATGATCTCTGGACCTGTGTCGTTATGTTCCAAGCTCAATAAACAAACATTATTTTTCATGTAATAATCAGTGTTCTTGATCTTTTTTATGTGTATAGAAGGGGAGAGGTCTATCCTCACACTAAAATATAAAACATCAAAACAGTTAGTGTCATTAATTAGGTCGTCATTTTCAAGTCATTCTTCAGGTGTAGTTTGTCAGTTTTCTGGAATACAATGACAAAGACACACTATAGCACATATCTAGTTCCTAGAGCACAGGTGTGTGTGTGTTGATGTGAGAGTGTATAGCTGTCCTTCAGTAGGAGATGAGCCTGGGGAAAGAGCATGGTTGTAATCCTGGCCTAGTTTAGCAGCAATCCCAGGATTGGGGTCAGCCACCAGTAGTAGAAAGTGCAGTGTGGACAGAAGTGTTCCCTCAATACTTGTGTGTTGTGTAATATTTATAACCTTCATTATGAAGTCCACCTTAAAGCGTTATGTAGTGCATGCTATTGCATTGTAGTTGAGATGGCCAGCTGACTGTAGATGAGGGTTTAGTATATTTTATGTTGCTAGTGTTTTCCACAAGTTAAACTAGTGATATGTCTTTAACAAGTGGTGATAATGTTCAGCAATGTAAGAGAGTGTCAGTTTCAATATCCCAGGCAATTAATCCACTCAGTTACCTCATAAAAATACATTTGCTTTATTGGGTCATTGTTGTATACATGGAGCACTTGAAGACGCAAGCATAGAGTGAATTAAGTCTACTTAAAAATGTTAATGGGCATGTCCACAGCATATTAAGGTACATTGTTTGCCTAAGATTACATGGTTATCTCTGATACACCCGCTCTTTATCTCCATATGTGGAATACTTGTAAATTATATTAGTAAATGGAGGCAAGCATAATAAATAAAAAAGATATTCAATAATTTAAGGGAATTAGAAATTACTCAATGACTCTTTCGCAAGTTACAAATCCCACTATTTAAAAAATAAGCATCTATAGTTTGACTAGAAAAATATTTTTACATATGTATTTACAGGGAGGAATGAAATATGTACACATCATTACAAGGAGGGTGCTGTGCTACTGCTGACTCCCTCTCCTACTTGAGATGATTGCAGAAGATGAATATCCCATTAAGGATTAATAAGTGATATATTTGTTGCTCTTGGAGAGACATAGTTGCCCCTGTTATTGTATTATGCTCGAAGAATCACCATTAAGTGACAATCATTCAGTCCAAAGCAAAGTTAATCTTATCTGGAACCAGCTTATTTCCAGAGACATTTCAATGTGCACTCATTTAATAAGACATTGTACTTTTATAAAATATAATAATCTACTATTACTACTCTCTTTGAAGTAAGTACTGTTTGAAGGCATCGTCATTAAGCAACTACAGGCTTCTCTGTGGGCAGCAAAGCAAAGTTTTTGTGCCGTATCCTTCAATATTTAAAGTAACTATACTTTTTTGTTGAGCTTGTCATGTACCTTTGGCTCTCTGCGATCAAGGTAAACAAACTCATTTGTGACTGGAAGATGTGAACATGAAATTAATCTGGAATATATGTACAATAGTTCAGTTACAGTTCTATCTATCTGAGTTTACATTCTGGATCCTTAAACGAGTATTACATTAATGCACAATATACAGTATGTTTGAAAACAGAGCTCCAAATATGATATACAATCTACAGTTATTTGGGCTTTGCAGCAAAGAATTAATTCAACAGTGTGTCTCTTACGTGTTACTACACATGGGCGTCACTTACTACACAGATATATGTACAAGTTTTATCCTCTCAACAATCACACACACATACATGCTGCATCTTTGCACCATCTGAGCTAACATTAATCCTCAAAATATAAGGAAGCTGATACTGTATGAGGATAAGTGAGAACCAGAGATTCAAAAACCACCTTAAAAATTCAAAGTAGATGATGTCTGTTTCTGTTGTTCCTCTGTGATATTTTTCAAGGAGGTGGTGATGTCCTGCCTTTTTGGCTCACCTGGTTAGTGTCTTTTAAAGATACTCATCATTCAGGTTTTTTCTTTCCTGATCAGAGACAGTTTTTCTGAAGAAATACTATGGCGCTGTGCATTCACTCATGTATCCGTCCTCTTGACTTCTTTTGGCGGTGAGAGAGACTGTGGTGCTCGGGTCATTCTCAAGTCATCTGTCGTGAGCCATCCCATCTTGTGCATGGCTTTTTGACCTTTTTAGCTCACTGAGCAGGTCTTTGAGCCAGAGCCTCCACCGGTGTTGTTTGTAGTAGCTGGGAAGATAGAGACACATCAAAGAAAAGAGTCAATATATTTGTAGATCAGCAACATTGAGGGGTCAGCCATGAACAGCTGGAGCACTTTGGAGGTTAGGTGCCCTGCTCATGGGCACCTTGGCAGTGTCCAGGAGTTCCTTGGGATGTTGGTTGGTACTCCACATGAAGTCACTATTTAAAAAAAGCCATCAGCTGATACATGGCATGCAACGGAACACACAAAACAGCAACTGGGCAAACAACATCGCAGCAGTTTTAATTCATTTTACAGTTGTGTGATTATTCCAAAGAATCACTGCACCTTTGTTGGCTGTGGCTGCTTCTTTAGCAGCCTTCTCCTCCTCCAGGGCTTTGAGTGTAGCCTCATACTCCTCTTTTTTCGCATTCCACTCCTTCCTGTTATTCAGGATGCCGTCCAGCATGGGCGTGATTTGTGGATGGAAGCGAGAAAACTCCTGAATGGAAAAGAGTCAAAGACAAAATACATTAAAAAAAGTTTGCAAATATGAAAACAAAGTTCAGGTTCCTTGGTTTGTTCACAACTGCAGATAGCTTTTATTTTGTCAGACCTGTGGGGTCCTGCCAAATAAATATAAATAATTTGCTTAACTAAAAAGGACCATGTACTGCGTGTTTCATCTGTCAAGATGTGACAAGAAACATTACCTTGTAGACAAACGTGCAGACAAAGTCAATGAAACCACACTGTAGCTTTGGAAGCTCTGCTGCCTTGTTCCTGTCCATCATGGGCTAGTGGGTTACAGACAAAATGTTTGAGGCACTCAGAAACATCATACTGACATCCAGGAAATCAATAATAACAGCAACAAGGATTAGCCTGTTATTTCTAAACACCTGCCTGACATAAACTATGTTCCCCTGCTTTCTGAGAAGTTGACATTCCCTCCAGTGAGTTAAAGTTTAACACTGCTATGTTAAGGAGCTTAAAGAGACAGTTCACCCCCAAACCAAAAATACAAATTTTCCTCTGTAGGTTGGTCAAAGATGCACCAGCAAGCCAAATTTATGTCCACGCCAACAATTTGTAAACTCACAATAGGTTGTTGTTCCAGTACTGTCCTCTCCAGGTCACCCTGCTCCCAGAACTCTGCTGCTACAGACAAGGCAACCTGAAAAATACATACACAGTCATCTGTAGAGACGCAGATCACAAACACTACAGCGATACGGCACAGTTATGAAATTGTTATGCTTCTCACCTTGCTCTGTACCTCCCAAGGCTTTGTGATGGCTGACAAGTCACATGCGGTCATCATCATAGCCCTAAAACAGAAAAGACTTCCAGTAGAGGATCATAGAAATGTAAAGGAATAAAGAGTTGCGTACATGTTTGTTGTACTCACATGACGATTTCTTTTCTGGTTGTTTCTAGGGACATGAAATCAACCCACTTCTTTTCATCCTCATATGTGTGTGACAGGTCCACAATCTTCTGGAACATGGTTCTTTTCCTGGCAAGGTAACAGGAGAGGGGCTATTTTACTATTTATCATTATGTGTTTTTAAAGTCTGGAGATAAGAGAATGAGCAGAATGAGAGAATAAAGTGGGGTGAGTAAAGATGAGATCATGCTGACTTGAAATAAAGAGCCAGGTCAGTGGCAATAATGGCGATGTCCATGAGATGAATCACGTGGTCTACCTGTCGTCTGTTTAGGTTTACGTAGATGTTCAATGACTGCAGATGAGACGAGAGAGATGGGCATCAGTCATAGTTACTGACTGCTGAAAATGCTTCTTTTTCACATCCTCAAGAGTTTAAGTTTGGTCGAGTTATTATCTTGTTCACTTCTTCTTTCTTACCTCGTCAGCCAAGAGGAACTTTCCAAATTCTAGATGGTGTCGTTCCAAGATGGATGAGCCATGCAGCTTTGCCAGAGGGTTGCCAGATCTGTCAGAATTAAACACCAGATTAACAACAGTCACCATCAGATTAAAGTATAATTGTTCAGTACATTAACTACAAACTGTGAAAACATAGTTTACCATAAAAAAAAACTTGAAACTTTCTTGAAATAGATTATTTACCACAGTGAACATTATTTCCAATTTTATTGTAATCAAAGCTGTTACTCGTGTATGGTAATAAAGCTGAATGACTTAAAATGCTCTAAAAAATTTGAAAATTAGGCTGACTAACACTCATGTAAAATGTATTTTTTCCAAGCTGTATGTGAGGACATGGATACATCATTAGTATAGACTATTTAGAATCAGCATGACATTTTAACTGCATTATTACTATTGCTGCAACTGATTATTTTCAATATAGATTAATTTGCCCATTATTTTCTCAATTAATAAATTAATCATTTTGACAATAAAATGTTAGAAAATAGTGAAAAATAGTTCATGCAATTTCCCAGAGCCAAGGTGATGTCCTCAAATAATGTTTTATCTGACCAACAGTCCAAAAATCCAAAGTTTTTCAGTTTATTATCACGTACGACAAAGAAAAGCATCAAATTCTCAGATTTAAGAATCATGAAATCAGCATATTTGGCTTTTTTTCTCAAAAAATCACTGAGATGATTATTTGATTACCAAAATAGTTGCTAATTATTATTTTCTGCATGATGTTCACTGTGAAAGATATCTCACTGCCAGCACAATTTAAGTGTTTGTGAGTTGACTGTCATGCTGCACTAAAATGAATGGAAGCTAACGGTGCTCTGGAAGGTATGACAACCAAACTCAGATGTAAAAAGACACTTACAGTGTCAGCTTGAAAAAGACTAGGGATGTTCCTAAAGACTGAAAGACTTGGTTTAAACAGAAGTTAAAACTTAGACTGGTTGACTAGTCTAAAAGTATGAAAACACTCCGAAAACGGCAAAAATTGAGCACAATTTAATCTAAAGGGTTAAAAATTAAAAAAAAAAAATGTTTCTTATAATAATAAATTATGTATATTATGAGAAACATTTGAAATTGTCAATCACATTTTCCACTAACCAAACTTAAATGCTGCTGAAATGTGTGGCACTTTGCCAACAACAACTCACTAAATAATAGTTAAATAATCTTTATATAAAACAGCATTCTTTAGGAGACGTGCCTGATTGCTACAAGAGCATTTTCATTGGGTCAATGTAATGGCATTGCAAACAGCCGTCCTGCAATTTAAAATAAAAATAGTCCTTACAATGTGTATTTATATGTAATTTAAATCTGTACATTAAAAAAATATCAGTTACTTTATTGTAGTATTTCTGGTGCCGCCTAGTGAGGGTAGCAACATTTTATTGCCTAGTTGACGAATCATGCACATCCCTAAAAAAGACCCGACGTGACTACGACTGCATTTCATTGTACAATCTTATATTGTATAATGACAATAAAACTGGACCTTGAATCATACACATTCAGACAGACATGTACGCACCTACATCATACAATTATTCAGCATTATTCTGGCACACAGACACAGCAGTGTTGTTATCGTACCTCTCTGAATGGGGCTGATTTTATACCCGGGAATGGTTAGCAAAGTGTAGGTTGGATTTTTTTTTTTCTACTAAGAAAGGAAAAAGTTCCCAGCAGCACTCACTTGACTTGGTACAAGTTGTTGGTCCCTCTGTGATCAATATCGTGCAGGAAGCCTGCAGTTATCATGGCCATAACCTCCAAGTCAGTGTAGTACCGTTTCAGCATTCCCGTCTGAGCACACAGAGACACACACAAAGTGATCAAACTAATAAAGTACACAACATTTTGTAGAGAGTTTCTCTTTTTTAGGCTTTCAGGTATTAAGATCTAAATAAAAGTGCTCTTATTGTAAATAGATTCAACAATGTTAATACCGTTAAGAGTGTGAACATGGTCTGTCCCACATTGAAGCCATGACGCCAGTTGTGGTATGTGATCCTTCTGTAGCCTTTACTGACTGAGTACATGAACCGAACCAGCACCTGTAAAAAGAGAACTGTTTAATGACAAAGACTTGGTGCTTTGTAATAATGAATAATAATGCTGTGTGTGCTTCTAGGTCACCTCCTGAGGGATCTGGAACTTCCTGACCACTCCAACCTCATAGTACATCTGGATCCCGCACTTCACCAGCTCCATCTCTGTGCAGTTAAAATCCGAAAAGTGGAACTCGTAGATCTCAAACTTCTTAATAAGTGGAGGTAGCATTGGTTTCTAAGAGGAAACGAGAGCAATAGCAGTGTAAGATAAAAAGTACACAGCACAGTCATACCGCTGGCAGACAGACAGTTCTGCTCGAATATGAGATGAACAGACAAATTATTTTCTGGAATACAACAATATTTGAATTGCTCAAATCTCCCTTTTCTTTTAAAGATTCGGTACTACTAATGGGTCATAATTTCTTTGTTACCAGGATTTCTAGGAGATCCTCCTCTTCACAGTCTCTTGGTTCAAGGCCATAGACTTCTCTGGTGTTCTGAGAGCAAGCACAAGTACAGAGGTAAATACAGGAAGTCCTACTGAAAAGAAAGCGTGCAACATGGAGGCTGGACTATGACTGTTGCCTTCTTGAAATGTGCTAGTGCACACTGGAAATTTTGATAAATCTAAAACTTCTCTGAATATGCAATATTTATAATGAATTAATAAGTGAAAAAAATGTTACAGTGCTGACCAGGATATTCTGAATCTCATCATCCCGACATTTGACATGGTAGAGCACCATGTCTTGAGCGATGTCTTTGCGGTTCTCCAGCTTGTTCATCTTGTCGTAAGTGTCCGTGTTCAAGACGGACCAGCCCAGGAACTGTGTCAAAGCCTGAGAAACAGGGATCAGCATAATATGTACAGAGTGTATCAGGAGAGGATCACTTATTCATTCTCATTCTTAACCATCTCATACCAAGATATCTCAGTTTCTGATTTTAAAGGTCCAGTGTGTAGGATTAGGGGGATATATTGGCAGAAAACGAATATAATATGTATATTTTCTTTAGTGTATAATCACCTGAAAATAAAAATTGTTGAGCTGTTTATATCTACATCGGGAGCAGGTCCTTATCTACGGAGTCTGCCATGTTGCACTGCTATGTTTCTGCAGTAGCCCAGAATGGACAAACCAAACACTGGCTCATGATAGGGCTGTTCTTTATTTTGCGTTGGCAACCATAGTCCTAAACCCCTCCACAATAAGCCAAATAGCATAGTTAAAAAAACACAGATTTTTACTGTGAAACTGATTTAACGTCTGGATCTTAAATTATCAGAGAAAAAAGGTGCGCACACATTAGCAGGTGCTGGGCTAGTGGTAAGTCTGAGCTGAAAAGTGTCAGAGAAACACTGATTTGTAATGTGAAACTTCTTTAACCAGTGTTTTTACCCATTTTAATCACCTGGTCTGTTTGTTTTTGGAAAGAAGAGACCTCTGTGGATATTTTGGCACCTGGTAAAAACATACTTGGCACATAGGAGAAGTTTTAGCTGGTTGCAATCTGCAATCCTCACCGCTAGATGCATCCTGCACACTGCTCATTTAAACACAAAGACATCCAAAAAAAGCATTTCATTGAGTGACAGAGCTCAGTGTTTATATACCTCCATGAGCTGCTCATCCTGATCATCAAAAGGCTTTCCATCCTTTCTGTTGTAAAAAGTGGCCACGCCCACTATCTCTTCTTTTTTGTTGACGATTGGCAGCGAGAGAACATTTTTTATGGTCCAACCACTGCTGTCGAGCGGCTCAGTCTGCAACATTGGAGACACAAGCAAAAGCACGTCATAGGTCTCTCTTATAGGTCTCTGACTTATTTTTGGAAAGTCATCTCTCTGACCTTTTAGTTGAGTGTAGCCATCTCTTACCTGAAACTGGAACATCTCGTCAGCAGCTGCATTCATAATGTTACAGATCTAGGACGCAGAAAAAACAGACTGATCAAGATGGAAGATGAGCAGTTACATTTGGTTTCTGATGATTCAACAGATTGTGGTAATGTAATGAGAAGAAACTCACAAAGCCGCTCTCGGCTACATAAGTAGGCAGGCCGCTAACCAGGGCCCAGTGATCTGCAGGCGGAGTGCTGTGTGAGAAACGGGAAAGTAGATAGAAGTTAGCAGATATGAGCACAGATGTGGTCAACCTGGAATGGGGCCTACTGCCTCTGATGTTTTTAAAATCAATACAATTTACAATTCATTAACATGGTACACAAATATACCGAGTCTGCTTCAAGCCTTGTTCCCCAAAATGTTGCTAGCTCTGTCAATGACTTTTAAAGTGGAACTTTTGTCCAGCCCCAGGAGCGCTCTTTTATGGTTTTAATCCTTCTTCTAAATGCATTCATTCAAGAAACGTTTCTTGGGTGCTTTTAGAATTTTCCATCACAGCTTCCACCAGACTCCTTGCTGCTGCACTGTCACTATAGTCTCTTCTTTCTAACTGTTCCCTTTAGCTCTGGCTGGTTGAAATTAAACACACACCACTTTTGTTGTGACAGCGCAGGAAAGTCGCCACAGATACCAGACACAATAACTCTGGTGTACTGCCAAATAGTAAGAACTTCCCTGACTATAATAGGCTTAATCAGCATTGTGTGATCATGATCACCAAGGGCTTAAATATGTGCAAAGACACTTTTGTTTTTACTTAAAAAAGTTAGTGTCCGGGCTTCCTTAAATTTTGAGTTGACTGACTTTGAGAAGAAGCTTTAAGGTAAAACAATTAGTTTCTTTTCACAGTGTAGCAGATGTTCATTTATATGTAAAGGTCCCACACTCCAGATTTAAATAACTTGGGTTGATTTATTAGAATTTTGTTGTCATATTAACCCATTTTTAATTAATATTTGGACTAAAGCAAACAGTCAAAAAAAGATTTACTTACGGTATTACTTTAATGTCTTCTTTTCCATGTAGAATATAATCAATCACTTTGTAGAAAATTATCTCCTGAAGGACAAAATAAAACACAAAGATTAGTAAAAAAACAACAACAACTATCTACTGCCAAGCAAAGTGTTGAGAATAATGTCAGATAAATGAAATTTGAAAACAGTACCCTGCCATCAGGAGTGACGGGGCCAGAGTACGGTGCCTGCTCTCCCATCAACACCGGCCAAATATCAAAGAACTCCTGAAGGAAGACAGACACAAAAATGCAAAGAAAAAGTCAGCGCTTCATGGTAATGAATGCATGGACACAAAACACAGAATATTATATTAAAGACACAGAAAGACACGGTACCTTCTCCTTCGTCATGTCTAGTAAACCAACAGAGTAACGGTCACAGTTGAGGTAGGCTCGGACTGTGTACAAGGCCTTGTGAAACTGTCGCTCAATGTCTGTCAGCTCTTCAAACACCTTGTTGGCCGACCACAGCAGCAGCTAGGAAACATAACGCACATACACCAGTCATGTGAAGCATTCAGTCCAGTGTGCATGTAGTAATTCTGTATTTAACATCCCTCACCTGTCCTTTACGCGTCTCACAGCTGTGGAGGTAACTCAGGTGGTAGATCTTCAAGTTCAAAGTGGCAATCTTTAGATACTTTAAAAAAAGCTAAACAGACAAGAGGAAGGAAAGCAATATGAAAACATGAAATGACATAACAGACAAAAGAAACATTATCACACTATGCAAGATGTGTTGATGTGGTATGGACATAGGATACAGCATAATAAGATGACTAGGGTTGTTTTCTTGACACAGACCCAAAGCGTCCCATCAGTTTTGATAACTCAAGCTTTTGCTCGTTGCAGCAAATAATGCAAAAGTAAATTAATCTGTGTTGATTAAATATTCTCCTTGCTTTAAAAGACAGGTAAAGCATTAAAACCATCCTGTACAAAATAGCTGCATGACTCAAAGCTTCCTTCAGAATTACAATTAAGCATCATGACAATATTGTGGCTCATGAAATATGTTGAGATTAACTGTTGTTCTTTGACAAATTTCCCACCAACCAGGGAGCTTTCTCATCTCTACATGAAACAACTGTGTAAATTCTCCTTCTCTACTCTACGTTTTCTTTTCTCTTCCTTTGGATTCTCCCCCGTTATCTGTTCATATTATATCTTTTAATGGCTAAGCATTGAAAAAAAAAGCAAAAGTAACATTAAATGAATTAAACAAAGTGCGTTTTTCATACTAAATAAAAGGTCATATTTCCAGAGATGTTTGAATATTGTTAATGAGCTAATTTAAAAGTTAATGATGATATTCTGGCAGACAACAACCCTGACAATTAAAACTATAAAGTAAAAATGCACCAAAATCTGAGTCTGAGAGTAACTCAGTGTAACAAATTGCTTTTAAAGTATATGCCATAGAAATAGTATATCTTATAATAATCATAATAATAGGATATATCTGGATTTCTGCTGCTGTCATTCAGATGATATATGGTACTGAACTTTTATTTGGCTAATGATGTCCTACCCATTTTATAATGTCATACTGATATACAAACAAATTATGAAATGATATAGTAATGTTAACTATTTATTAGTAGAAATAACATTTATGATATTTTAAGATTTTTTTGTTGCTCACTTTATAACATTTAATGTAGCATATTAAGCATTAGTTAATGATTAATAACTGGCTTGTAAACTGTCTTTAAACATTATTTAGACGAGTATTATAAAGCCACTCTAATGTTTACAGTCGGTTTACAAACCAATTATTAAGGGTCTGCAAAGTGTTACAAATTTGTGATCTGTCTACGTTGTTTTTATTGATTTTTTTTTTTTTACAAACAATTTCTGAAAGGTTTAAAAATCACTCTGTAATCATAAAAAATATTTAATATGGTATATAAAGCATTAGAATGTATACAATATTCAGTATTCAAATATTCAATTCACCATTTATTAATAGCGGTTATTATAAAGTGCTGACTTTATTTACAGACAGGTCATCATTCGCAAAAATCAAAATAATTTAAAGGTCAGTATTATATATTATCTGCATGACAGCAGCAGAAATCAAGATATTCCCTATAATATATCTATAGCATATACTTGTTACCTTGAAAGTTTAATTAAGTATCAGTCTATCATTCATTTATGTTGGTTATTATGAAGTGTAGCCATCAAGTCATTAATCGGCTGTAGATTGGAGTGTTGTATGGGCTTGACCACCTCAAGCTTATTTCCATTTTGAAGCTTAGTTTACTCCTAATTGGGATTAATGACCTGACGTATACCGAACACACACTGGTGCCACGTGTAAAGACTTTAATGATCTACCCGTCGGCTCAAAGGGAATTCCCTCCAAACTGTAGTGATAGACCAATGGCAGTTATCATCACGATATGATATACTATAAAGGACTTTCTTTTGCTTTGAGTCAAAAGCAGACACAGATTCTATACAAGTGTTAACGCTGAATAAACTCTTATTGTATTCCGATGTCAGATGTGTGTTTCAGCCGCGTGTGCTTTGTGCGTGTGTGTGTGGCTGTGGGACTCACATCTTCATCTTCAGCAGTGAAATGTGGTCCTGTGGTCTTGTTCAGAGCCATGATCACAGCCACCATGTCTTTGCCGTTGAGGATGGGCGTAGCCAGAATGTTTCGGGTCTGGTACTCTGTGAGTTCGTCGACGAATGAGCTGAAGTACTGATTCTTAAAGACAGAAAATACAGGTTTTGAGCATATATGAAGTATACTTGCAGGACTTTCATTAATTGTTCACATTACTATTATTATGCACAGTTTTAGGGAAGAAATGTTGTCCAAAATTACATTAATTGCTCATATAATATGCAGTAATGTTCTCTAACCTGATATAATAGATGTAATTTTCATTTAATATATTGTAGGGTGTAGAGTCATGAGTAGAGGTATTAGAGGTTCATTGTGTCTCTAATCTATGGTGAGATAATTGACATTAATTACCTTGAAATTAGTGCTTTTATGAAGTAGAATGAAAGACTTTTGTACTTTTGTATAACGTCATGTGGTGGGTAGGTAGTTCCAGACCTCTACAACACCATGACCATTATTGTAACAGTTACCAGGATGACAAATCACTTGACAATAATGCCTTTGGGGAAGAATCTAAAATCAGTAAATTTAACTTGGCGAGTAACAATTACCAGGCATATTTAGTGCATATTTAATTAGAAGATGGCTCATTTGTACATTTAAACATAACATTTCAGAAAACTTAAAGTACAAGCTTGACATACAAACATAATAAAATGTAATATCTCCCCTTTACTATAGGCAAGTATGTATGGAAGCTGTACCAAGTAAACTTGTTTTGATCTGTTTTAGATTCCTGCTGACTGCTGACTAAATGCCAGAGGCGTCTAATCCACAGCTAGAGCAGAGGCTGATGGGATCTGGAAATAAATGGATTATGTCTGACAAGGGGATTTACACTCTCACTTGGTCAAGTATAGATACGTGTCACTAACTCTTCCTTCGCTCGTCTACAACTGTGAGCATAATGTAATTAATGGAAACGTACAGGTTCAATGAGGTCATGCTATTAACTACTGTCAAAACTTAACATCTGATAGAGTTACGGTTTGATATGCACCAAAATATTGGCTAGTTTTTACTTGATAAACAGAGGAGGAGGAGCTCAGTGTGCACAAACTATGTTTTAAATCTTGGCTGCTCAATACAGTGCTTTTACAGAGGTGAGCTATGAGGTAATGGTTGGATGATACATTCCACAGTTTGCATTACAATGAGCCTTTACTTAAAAGTCAAAAGTCTTTTTTTAGCCACTACCAATGAAATATCACTTGAAGTGGGGCTGGGTAATATGGAAAAAATAAAATATTACGATATTTTTTATCAAATACTTCAATATTGATATTGCGACGATACTGTAGGGTTAACTGTTGATGCTTTTACAAAATATTTATACAGTGACATTTTTGATAAATAATTATCAGTAATGTGAATATAATGACTAAGTAGGTAAAGGCAAATAATAGTTCAGAAAATTACATAATTCCACTGTAATACAGCCTTTAAAACCCAGGAAAGACAACACTTATTTTATGATATTACGATATCCAAAAACCAAGACGATATCTATCCATCACAATATCGATATCTATCTTTCTGTTGCCCAGCCCTAATTTGTAGGTTGCGCCTTAGTAATTCCTTAATTCTATACATTTAAAACCATGTGCTATACGATACTAACAATTCAGTAATGATGGACGCCATAGCCTTATTGCCTTTTTCAAATGTGAACAATCAGCACCTGTCCATCTACAACAAGCTATTTTTAGGTTTGATCTATATCTGTTTCACTGGGATTACTTTTGGGGACAAGAGTATTGTCCAGTGTATTCTTTCAGCAGCATGCTAGTCATCTTGGATTTTGATCGTCTTTTGAACATCATCATGTTGGTGCGGTAAACATAGATGAATTCAATTTTGCCCAATTTTCAAAACTGTCTGATAAAACTATATGTATATATATATATATATATATATATATATGTATACATATATATATTAGGGGAAATATACCACACTATGAATACAGCAAAGTCTTGCCACAGCTTATTTTCACTAAGGACTGGGAAAAAACTCCCTGACAATGGCCTTAATGGTGCACTTTGTGTTGTACATTGATATTTTTATATAAAAACTGTGCTATGTGCAGTTTTATCTTGTGTGCATGTCACATTTTCAACAGTACAGCTTCTTAAAGGGGCAGTTTGGGTGAGTCACATTGTATTAAGGAGTTAATTACATCACCCTTACTCTTATGAGCTACAATGGCATTCAGAAACCAGCTTGCTTGCTACGAGATCAAGATTTAATTGTAAAGGAAATTAACTTTCTTTAAATCATTAATTAAAGCTACTGTGTGGGATTTAAAAATTGAATGATGTGGTGACATCTGGTGGTAATATCAGGAACAACAGCAGTACAGATATGCTTAACATCTGCATTACTACAGATAGGCCATCATTATTCTAATCTTAGGATTACTGATCATTGGTGCATTTTTTCCACTCCCCTCTTACCTCTGTGACATCTTTCACATTCACAGTCTTCTTGGTCAGGGCCACGTGGCCGACTATTCCCATGTCCAGCGGATAGACGATCTCAGAGTCTGGTGGCACCACACAGTCCTCCAGCTCTGCATCTGTGCTGACATTGAAGAGCCTTGTGGCGAGCTCTCCGACGCCGTTCCGCTGCCGGTACATGAACAAGCTGCACCGGTCTGCGTGAATGAGCGCGGTGATTCTCTTCAGAATCTTGAACACCACCTTCTCCACGTTGATGTTCTCCTGCATGTCTTTGATTAGGTCATACATGATTCTGCTTTCTTCGACCTTGAAACAGAGCAAAACAATAGCCCCTTTTTAGAATTTGGTTCAGTAGAGAAGATTTAGAATAAGTACAGAATTTTGCCATAAGTTATATGGCTAGGCTAATCACTTACGAGAAAGTTTGGTCAACAGTCTCTTCATGCTCTTTTTCCCCATAATAAACAATTACTGAAATGATTAAATTTACCTGAGAGAGCTCCTGGAACTGGCTGAAGTCAATCTGTTTCTCTGAGAGTCCTGACACCTTTGATATGGAGGCAGGGCTCATCTTCTTGGAAAAGTACTGTTTAGCAAATGCAGGGTTGTCCTGGAGGAACTTTTCCACATCCTTTTGCGCAGCCATGCTTCCTTCTTCCTCCTCTTCTCCCAAATGCCCCTGTCTTCTCCCTCTTCAGCTCAGTGACGGAGCTCCTGCTCGGTCCAACGCTGCCCCGAACGAGCTACTTCCAACTTCTCCGAATAGATATAAAAGAATAAGCAAAACAAAGCACAGCCACCAGTTTATCCAGTTAATTCCCTACAGAAAGAAAATGCGATGCAGGTCTTACACGCAAAAGGGGAAAACAAAAGTGGACACATTCAAATGCAGGTAAAAAATAATCCCCCCTGTTAGCGGGATGAGCAGACTGAGTGAGGGAGAGCCCTGAGGAGAAGGCAGAGGGCTGAATCCATACAATCCTTCTGTCATCAGCAGATAGTGCTGAAGGTTAGCAGGGATCTGCCTATGCTAAACTTGTCAGCTGATCATCTAGTAACGGATATGCGAGCCAAATTATCCAGCAGCCAGTGTGCTGCAGTACATGCAGTGCCTCTGTAATCAGTAATATTAACAGCAGAATGAAATAATGCTGGAAATAAATAGAATAAATCTACATAATCTTGGCTTGGTTACTTCTATCTTATACCCTAAAAGCAGACAAGAAAATATTCAAAATAAATTGATTAAACTTGTGAAATAAATGCTAAGAATAGCAGAAATCTTAAGCAGGTTTTGTGTAGCCTTAAAGAGAGACTGATCAACATGTAGTAGTTCCTGTATTTCCGGTAAATTTCCTATTCAATCAAAGGTAAAAATACAGATATGTATGAAAAAACATTACACGTTCATGAGTATTTTTAGTTTACCATAAATATCTTCCGGTTTTTCAGTTTGCTATGTGTCATCATGTACAGTATACTGTGTCTGTCTATCCCTCTCACAAATGCAGGTCTACCTGTACAAGCTCTTTAAGTCCTTGTTAAACAAGGCCTCCTCTGGCATAAAGCCCTATTTAGTTAGGACACTAGCTGATTATCTCAGCACCCCAACTCTCCGTCTTTCTCCACATGCAATCTTAAATGCAGTCACCCCGCAGTGCCTTTCTTAGTTTCCACAGCAGTGACTGTCATTATCATATTTAAGAGACAGGTAGTCGGTGATAACCTGAAAAGAATGAGGGTGTAAAGCCAGCTAAATGCTAGACACCAATTTAACTTTCATGAAATAGTACTATCACAAACAAGCATACACAGACACAAAGTGGGAACAGAGAGATGTTTAGTGCTTCTGTAAGAAAGTTAATGATTTCATTCAGAGCAGGGAGGACCTGTCTATAATAAGGTTACATAAACACCTTAAACAAAAGGTCAGATAGATAATCTGCTTCCACTATAATATATTGCAGCAGGTCCAGGGTGTGCATGTGCGACACAGAATGAGTGATGGAGGGAGGGCAGAGTGGTTTAGGTTGGTCAGTTTGATAAGAGTGTGTTATTTGATGTGTACCTGATGTGTCTTTAGTGTAAAACCCACTAAAACTGAACACTGGGCCAGTGGGCGTTAATAATGCAGCAGCAGTAGCTACTCCACTGGGGTTCCAGGTTTAAAAACAGCAAGCTAAAGAGAAAACAATTGTTAATGTATTTTAGTGTATCTTAATGGGAGGGCCTTAATCTAAATTTAACAGATTATTCTATTAATATAAAATATGTACTACAGTAAAACTTCAGTTAAAAGCCTAGTCCCAATTAAACACCCAGTCCCTTATACTAGCCCAATGTGGCTACACATTTTGACAAATAAAGGCCTGTCTTAATTAGAAGTTCTTTGGATGTGTAAAACCAGATTATAATATAAATGTTTAAACTTTTGTCAATATGGACATGCTACATATCGTTAGCTCTGTTCATTTCATTTTACTGAAACCATGAGCACCAGAGAAGACTGTAATCTTATCTTACTATATAATGAAGAAAACTCTGTCTGTGTGTCGGTCTGTGTGTCTGTTCCACGTTTTTCTCCTCACTGATTTGGTCAATCCATGTGAAATTTGGCACAGTGGTAAAGGGTCATGGGGGAATTCGAATGAAGCAATATTACATCAATTAGCCAAAGGGTGGCGCTATAGCAACCGACTGAAACTGCAAACTTTGAATGGGCATATCTCATGCCCCGTATATCGTAGAGACATGAAACTTTGCACAGAGATGCCTCTCCTCATGAGGAACAAATCTGCCTCAAGAACCCATAACTTCCGGTTATATAGATTTTCCGCCATTTTGAATTTTTTTGGTATAATATGTAGTTTTTCCACATAAAAATGTCTAAAAACGACTAAACCAATATTATATATTTTGTTTAGTTGTGTACTTTGATTATCAGAAATGTTTCCAGCAATTTTTCAAACCCAGATAAATATGAAATATTAATAAAAGTTACGGGCCGTGTCATTAGGTCGCAATGGCGATGTACCTCCAGTTACCATAGCCATTAAATGAAGGAGGAGAAGAAGAAGAAGCAGACCGGATGAGACGTCAGAGAATGAACGTTACTGTTGCTAGGCTAAGCTAACTCGTCATGGATCATGATTATGCATTGACGGTTGCTGCACCTTCACTGAAGCTGTTCCGGTAAACAAGCCGGTAAAACGGAAACGTACAGGTCAACCAAGCGATCCCAGAAGAATTTGGGATAAGAAGAGAGCTAAATCTAGGATTAATATTGGTGTGGCCTTTCCGAGATGGAGAGAGCTTCGTGAAAATCTAGGACTACAATTCGACGCCGACCTCGTGTGTGTTCTACTAGACAGGTAAGCAAACATCTGGCTGATGTTATCGAATATTAATCATTTCCACCAGTGTATTGCAAGCACTGCTGCCCGCCGGGGCACCAGCGCGGGGTGGAGCTAACCACAACATCTAACGATAGGTTTCTATAATGCTGAGCTGATGCCGGTAAATTCACGGAGTGAGGAACGTCAGATCTGTATGTTATATGACTACACTCCCATGATCCCACGCTACTTCGTGACGTCATCCAACTCCGTCTTCTGTTATTGTTTTGGGTTGAGATCCCTAGTGGCAGAAAATTACATATTGCACGTTTAAAATTGATCTCTTCCTAGGAAATTTGACTGATCTGCATGAAACTCGGTGAACACAATCTAGGGACCAATATCTAAAGTTCCCTCTTGGCAAAAGTTGGAAAACTTACTAAAACTGAGCTTCTTTAAGGCAATGAATATTGCGGAGAGCGTGGCTCATCACATAAAGGTGTATAACATCTCAAGGGTTTCACCGATCACTACACAACTTTGTAGGCATATGACCACACATAATCTGAGGGGACCCCTCCATTATTGACCCCATCAAACAAAATGGGGGCGCTAGAGAGCTAATTTCTTATCTAGGCCTAACCGTCATATCGATTTTTACTAAACTTGGTAGATATGTAGAACAGGACGCCTCAAGGTGACTGGAGAAATTTAACTCTAATTGGCAACTGGGTGGCGCTATAACAACAGAAAAATGCTTAAAAATGGCTAAAATGTGACTGATCGCTGTGGCTCCCCCTGTGGCCCAATGTTGTTTTTTTCTAATTTTTGGTATGACCAAGTCATGGTATGGTATGCTGTACTCAATGGGTATAGACTAGTTCCTTCAGATTTGGTGACTTCCTTCCTTTGTAGCTGTCATTAAATCAGAATATGTGTCCTCAATTACTCACTAAGTTATTTACATTTCTTTAGTCTGTAAGAGTCCACCAATCAAAATAATCAAGTGTTTTTAAGAAGAATTAATCAGTATGCTGTGTCATAACATATCACATATGTTATTCAAAGCCTAATTTTTATACAAGTAATATTCATACTGGTTCAAATAAATAATTTGAACATATTTCCCATCTTTGCTGAGCAACAGCTTTGTGTACAAGGAATTAAAGACCTGTCCCAAAAATAAAGCTGTTGCGCTCAGTGAAATAAGCAAATAATAGCCTGTGCTGCTAATTGAAGTTTTACAGTAACGTTATATCAAAGTGGGCCAAGTTAGCAGTAAACTATAGTCTGCTTTGAGCGTTTCATTTATTCACTTATAAAGGAAAAACGCTCATTAACGTTAGCATCGTAACACGCTCACAATGCTAACAATGCTAACATGCTCATGATAAGCAGGTGCTGTGACGTTTCAGGAAAATTAGGCTACTTAATTTAACATTTTTACATAACGTCACGATTCTTACACAGTTTAACAAAGGCGATAATTGGACGGTGCACAAAGTTTACCTGTTCTCCTCAGTTTCCTGCTGTACTAAACAATTTTTCCTTAATATGTGCTGTTAATATGAGTAGCTTTGTTTGCTAACCTAAGCACGTGCAATGTTAGCCTGTTGTCTCACAGGTGTGGTAATTTATCCTCTTCTCTTAGAAGGATGCTTGAGACCCTGAAAGCCTGTTCTTGACTAGATATATCACCAACCCCTTTGAATAAAACACATGGAAAGCAATTAAAATAAATACATAATAATTAATAATAAAAAAATAAACTACCACTAATAACAACAATAATAATAATAAACTACTACTGCATCGGCCATTTTGTCCTGGAGTTCAACTCCACCTTAAGGCTGATTTTTCAATTTGATTTGATTTGATTTAATTTAATTTAATTTAATTTAATTTATTTTATTTTATTTTATTTCATTTTCTACCAGAGGTTTGGTTTATAACAATGTCCGGCTGGTGGTTTTCAAGGTTTTCTTCAAATGGCAGGCATTCTGTAGAAGATAATCGGCATCAATCATGATGACTGCAGTTACTATTTTGTTTTAAATACTTTTTTCTGTAGTCCTTAAAATACCATAAAACTTCAATTAGTAGCCTGGGCTATTACTTGCTTAAATCACTGAAATCAACGGGCCTATATTTGGGACAGATGTCTGTATGGTACAGGCCTTTAATTCCTTTCACACAAACCTGTTGCTGAAAAGAGATTGGGAAATACTATCAAATTGTTTATTTAAACCAGTATGAATATTACTTGTATTTAAATGAGTCTTAAGATAATATGTGAATTATTCATTTGATC